GTGCTTCCACAGCCTACACATGTGCTGCCATGTGTCCCGGACGAGAAGATATTAATAACCCTGACACCCCCAGAAACGCAGTGTCTGGGATCCAAACTCATTTTCACCGTGTCATGAGTGCATGTATAATTATACGCTTCGCCGGCCTCCGAGACCCGCCTGTTTAAATCATAACGCTCCCGAAATTGGAAAAAAAAAAAAGAATAGCTCCTTTTTGACACTGATGTGTCTCACAGGAACTGATCCTCCTAACAGATGTGTCAAAGGATTCACAAACACAACCAGCCCTATAGAATAAAACCCGAGCGTTTGCCCCAGGTCAGTCAGAAAATTTAAACTTCTCTCTTTCTTCAAGAGGGCTCATTAATATTTTATACTCTTGCACAATCCAAACTAGTTTAACTCAAACTGTCTGTCTGCAGGGGGGAAATAAAAGGGATTTTGAACCAGAAAAAAAAAAAAAACACAGCTCACGGGGGACGACCGAGACCGGATAAGAGCAGCAATCGTTATCCTCAAAAACACCATAACTCCACCACAGTTAAAATTTTTATCAGCGCACTCAGATAAAGGATTCATTTATCACACGGCGTACAGCGCCTTGCAAATGTATTAATACTCTTTGAACTTTTTCCCCATTTTGTTGCAGTACAGCCACATACAAAGTGGTGCTTGATTGTTAAATGTGAATGAAACGATTCTCAAAATGATTTAAAACTAAACATCTGAGAAATGTGCCCTAAATGTTCCCCTAAAATAAATCCAGCACAACCATTTGTGTTTAGATACCACCTAATAGGCAAATAAAGACAAATAACACATGTGGGTAATGTGGTCTTACTACACATCCAGCTCCTCCTCCATTTTGGTTCTCTGGACTCACACCGCTGCATGTCTCTGGTGTCTTCCTGCCTCCACACACCTGACTTTTATTAATGGGTGATTGCCATGCTTCTGGAACACCGAATGGCACACTGAGGAGGCAACACATTCGTTTCATTCAGATGTGCTCGTGCAGGGAAACGTCTAAAACATGAAGGACAGCGAGTCCTGAGGTCCAGGATCGAAAGCCACTGCGTTAGAGAACATTAGTGAACAAACAGCATCATTAGGACCCAAGGAGCACTTTATCTCTGACAAAAGGAAGGTCAGAGATAAAACTTTGGAGAAGTTTTGGAGCACATTATAAAACAACATGTCTAGCTTTGGATCACAAGGGCATCAACCAAAACTGGGCAAGGAAAAGAGAAGAAGTCACAGAATAGTGGCAAGATAAAAAGGCACTGACTGTTGACAGAAAGCCAAAATAATTCCTGTTGGCAGGTGTGGGGGGATCCAGCAAGCATGGCCAAGAATGTGCTCTAAATGCAAATCTCAATAAAATACTTTGCAGCTGCAACTGTAACATGCCAAAAATGTGAGAAGATTTGCAAGGAAACTACGATTTTCAAACAGCATGTCATAGTTTGAGCAGCGATACCACACATCCTAATTGTCCTGGTGATTTCATTATAGCTCGGGCCATCTCTGCAACAGGAATTGCTTTAGGTGGAGAGCCTCAAGCTTTCATTAGATACCAGGAAGCAGCAATCAGTGGGCCCCATGTGCCTGTGGAGCTCTCCTGTATCAGGACACAGGCATTCATGTGACCTCTTTGTGTGCCTCAGCAGGTAATAAATCCCTCAGGAGCGCCGGCTGGCTCGGCAGAGTTAATGCAGATCCGAACCTCATCTTTGGAATGCAGCGATTCGACGTGATGCCACGCTAACCAATCTTTTTTTGCACAAATTGAATGGCTGAAGGCGACTCCGGCGATGCGCCAGAGATCAAGACGTGGCATCTTCATCTCTGTGAAATTGGAAATGGCGGGGGTCGCTGATGAAGTTTCATGTTCGTGATTTCAGGTGGGAGGCTGAGCTGAAGCTGCTGTGTCTTTCAGCAGTAAACTGGTTGTGTGTTTAAAACACCCTTAGGGGGACAGAAGGAAAAAGGTGTCAGGCTGTGGCCTTGGTGCTTGGTCATTTTGTTGCATTGAAACAAATGATTACGCGTCATTCCCAAACTTCTTATTGAATTACTAATATATTTTCTTCCCTTAATGTGTAATAAAAAGAGACAATCTACCTTCCTCACCTAGCGCTGTTGTTTATACAAAGAGTTTTCAAGCTCATTGCTCTGATTCCTTTCCTTCAGTCTGCTCACTATAAAAGTTTAAATTTTCAATCATCAGAAGGATGTACATGTGTGCGTCATCTAGCCAGCCAAAGTGAGGCAGAGGAGGAAATGTCTTCCTTAATTGAAACTCTGGCACCGTTTTTGTAACATTCATAGCTAAAAGGCTGCTTCACAGTGGAGCAGCAGAGCTAAAGCAAAGCCTCAGTTTCCCTGAAGCCATTGTACATGGGAACTCTGAGACCGTCTGGCGGGCTGAGATAGAGACAGGCCGCATCCTTCAATCGAGTCGGACCCACATTTACCGCTTTGTTCATAAACATGAAGTGGCAAACCACATGGAGAACTTATTTTAAAAAAAAAAAAATCATTAAAGCTGCTTAAATGCTAACAAACGAACACATTCCTTAGTGCCACTTTAGAAGTGAGGTCAGGTGCCAAGGGGCCGCCGGCCCAAACCCGATAAACTGGATCCACTGCTGAGGCAGGCGTAGGAAGAGGGGCCACTTGAGTGTGAAGAGTCGCTGGAGTGTCGTTCTCCCAGCTTTGATGCCGACACTCGAGGTACGGCTCACTGGCTGACCTGCGAGCAAAACCAATCAGAGGCATAGATGGGGAACAATGTGCTATCATAGCGATATGCGCTTGTTTTGAGAGGCGTCTATCTGTTTCGGCTCCTCTAGTTTGTCAGGAGGGTACGAGAGGGGGGGACTGGATTTGCTGCAATATCGGCAGAGGGTTATAAGAACGCCTGGAGGGCAGCGCGGCACGGTTCAATTCCATGTGCTCTGCAATCTCAGAGCTTTCAGGCTTACTAAATCAATTACACAGGGTTGTGGAGCCTGTTCCTCTCTCACACGTAATACCCATAATGCCCATTGTTTCTCTATGCTTCCCGGGGAAGACCGAACACAGACTTCCTGCAAAGTTGATGGCTGCATACTTCATCTGTTCAGCTCTTCAGCTGTCTTCACAAATCTGGATCCTTGATGCCAACGTAGGAGGATGGACTGTAGCGATCAGCGCAAGTCACAAAGAAGAACACATAAGACTTTAAGTCTTTGTCTTCAGCAGACGGTGTTTCAAGACCCAGCAAAAGGAGGACTCGTTTTTTTCCTCTCTATCACACTGTGTCCAGGAGGAAGTGGTTTGGTTCGGAAGGAAATTGCTGAATGCGAAACAGTGGAGCCTCAGGCCAACGGCGCAGCTCCTGGTTTATAGTCGGAGTGGGAGAAACACGGCCATCTAAAGCCTTATGACACACCAAAAACCAGGAGCTTCAGGAGATGCACAATGCTTTGGTTGTATAATGTTTCTAACAAAAGTCTCTTAAAAGATAAAAAAAATCAAGTGGAATTAATGTCAGAAACAACTAATTGTTTTATTGAGATCTAAAAATGGCATCTTATTTATTTTACCTTTCTCGGTAATCAATGAAGGCACCTTTCTTGACATTACTGCAATCATCCCCTTCTTCTAATCACTGATAAAAGCCTTTGCTTGTTTCCATTTAATTATTTGGACAATTTATGTTTGGGGAGGAGCTCCAGTCTTTTAAAGGCCTCCTTGCCATCACCCTCATGTTTAGATCTCTTCACACATTTCTACAAAGATTTTCATACAGCCTTGGCTACTCTAAAGCATTAATATTTATTCTTCTAGCCAAAATAAACTTGCTACAACTGAGAGATTAATTTTGGTTTGGTATGGGGAAGAGACTAATCAAATTCCAGATATCCAGGTTATTAGTCCTCCAGGCACCTGAAACTTTTTACAGGAATACATTTTATAATCAGGTAAAAAAATATATAAGGAATTCCTAACCGGCTTTACAGATTTAAAGATTTATTTTTTATACATCTGATTTGAACGAAGCAATCTTTTCTTTGCCTGAGTGAATAATATACAAACAGAGAGAGAGTCAAATAATTCATGCTTTGTGTTTGGTAGATGAATCCCTCGCCTGTGGCTGTTCCTCCTTCATTTACATAGCAGTAACACTGCGCGCAGTAAGGAGCAGAGAGCGGAACATTGTGGATCAGAGCTAAATGACGCACAACTGTAGAAACATTGCAGAGCCAAATAGTTTTATTATTCCTTGTAAGACATTAGTTCACTTTTGCACATTGTTCAGTCGTCGAGTCAAACCTCTGCACCTGCAGCCCCACCCTACCCAAGTGACACTTAGCGGGTCTTTTCTTTTTCTTCCACGACTGCTCAAATGAATCTTTTTTTTTTTTTGTCTTCATTTTATGAGGGTAAAATGGCTGACGCATCTTTGACGTCTTTGTAGCAATCTGCTTTGGCATTGTCTCAGAGGGGGAAACCTCTCAGGTCTGCTCATTAAACTCAAGAATGGCTGGTTTTTGCGCGCTTGGCACGCGCGCCGCAGCAACGCACAAGGTAACGTAATTAAACTAACGGTGGATGAAACAGAGACCCGGTGTATCATCCGAATGTTTTTTTTTTTTTTTTTTTTTGATAAACTACAAAAACAATGAATAAAAGTTTAGTGGTAAGGATTTGCATGGTTTCACTAAATCAAATCCAAATCTGATTTAAGCGCCATTATTTAGTGCTAATGTTACTTTTCTGTATGCGCATTATGGCGTTGTTTTCTGACGTCGTTGTTATCCTAAATGGTTTTGTGTTGAATTCCTTTCTGTTGCTCTTTTTAGTACGTTTTCATTAAACTGTGAAACACACGCAGTAGTTTCAACAATAAACTGTTTATTACACCAGGTAGGGATTCGGTCCAGTGTATTGGAACCATAACGCGTGGCGGCTTTCCAAAGCGCACGAGCACGAACAGCACCACCGGAGCTCACCTGCAGGACACTGTGATCTCCACTTTGGTGGCAGGGATGCTCCCACTCATGGGGTCGAAGTCACAGACCGTCGCCGTGGCCTCCACCTTGTCCATTACGTCCCCCTCCATGCGTGCGGGAGACCCGGGCCAGCTCCTGTGGCCGTGTGAGTGAGTTCCGCTGGACCCGGAGAGCCGAGGGCGGAGAACCGGAGCGCGGCAGCCGAGGGAGCAGGAGCGAGCGCGGTCCAGACAAACCTCCTGGATGCGGTCCGCCGGACGGGCAACAGCATGGAAAGTTTAATTAAGGCGGCGGTGGGAGCGGCTGCGAGGCGACTGGCTTAAACGCAACGTGGGGTTCAAATGCCAGGACCCATCAGTTCAAACTCTGCAGAATGAGCTCCTTCTGCCCGAGACCGAGGCGCTTTGAAAAGTAAACGCAGTGAACTCCACCCCTCCTGCCTGCATTCTCCAGCTGTAGCCTACATGCAGAGCTGTGGCTGACACTGATTTATGGCGAACTGATCGTAATTTTGCTCTAAATTAAGTTGGATGAGCCTCTAAGAGAAAATCAATTTTTAAAAAAAAGGATTGTCTGAATCTCCTTGCAGTTCAGAACAGATGAATATTTTTTCAATCAGCTTTTAGATTTTTCCTTAGAATAAACCCACCTTCAGTGAGTTAATACCTCCCTTCAAAAAAAAAATAAAAATAAAAATCTGAAAATCGCTCAGAAGATAACGGGTCCATCAACAAACCAGCTCCCAAAATGAAGTGAGAGGTTGCGTGGTGCTGTTTCAGCATCTGGACAGCTCCTCAGACCGCTGCAGCTCCACGATCAGCTCTCCTTTATCTCGCCAGTTTCCCCGACTATAAGTAACCTGAAGGGGCGAGAAAAATTTCCACCCGCCACCAGAGTAATTCAGATTTAAGGCAAATGTGCTAATGCGCATAAAGCGAGAAATACTCCGATTAAAAAGTTGCTGATGACTGACAGAGAGAACACCTTTGGAGCGTCACACTGAATAAGTTCTTCCCTCCAATGTCAATCATACAGGTATCAGCAGAGGATAAAACGGAGGTTTGGAAAACGATGCTGATTCATATCAATAGACTGTAATGTGAGATATACGAGAAGTGACAGAAACGTCACAGCCACATCATGACTTTGCACCAGCAGCCTTTGGCATCCTCCACAAGAACGATGAACCACAAAGCATCAGTGCAAACGAAGCTGGTTTGTTCGCAGAGAGTCGTAACTCTGTATGTTAATGAAATAAGTGGAAGGAAGAACTTCTGTGAAAAAGAGGGACAGGTCAGAGGAGAGACTGAACGAGTTGTGAGGCAAAGCGCTTTCTGGAGATTGACAGAGATTCTCCAAACCTGATCGGCTGGAGTCGAAGCTTCCAGATCCTCCACATAGAAACATCCAGAACATGAGCCAGAACTTTCATAATATGTGTGTTTAAGTTTTCCTCAACAAGAGACAACACAAGAGGATTCTTATCTGTGAAAAGAAAAATATAAAGTTGTTTGTTTTGTTGTTGTTTTTTGTTTTGTTTTAATTCAATGATCAGGATATTTTAAAGCACTTCCTGTTTCCCTCTACTAACAAACATAAGGAAAATTCATTTTCCAGCAGGTCTGGGCACGAGCGAACCAAATGCTGGTTCAATGAGTTAGTCGACTAGTAAATAAAAATGAACCCCACAGAGAACCTAGAGAACATGCAGCCGCGAGTCGCAGCTGAATCAATATTTCAATATTCTGAGAAATCTTAGTAGTAAATGCTTCAGATTTATCACTCAGTTTTTCAATTACATAACACAACTGCAGTATTTCAAATCAAAGTAAAATCACTTTTTGATCAATTTAAGATGCAATGACTGGTATGTTTATCTACCTCAAAGAGAAAAATCCAAGCAGCAGCGTCTCACGACCGTGAGTCAAATAGACACAGATGCTTCAGTTTTGTCACATGTGGAAGTTTCATATAGACAAACGCCCACAAAGGTCACATAAAAATACACATGCAGCCTGAGAAGCTGTATGTGATCCGTGCCACAGGCTATCCATCGAGCATTATGGGAAATCTGACTCAGACTGAGACTGACATGGCGGAGAGTGGTGCGTATTTCGGACCAACGGAGCACCGATTTATTATTATTCATGTTGGCTCTGTAATTAAGCCTGGTGGTGGCCCTTGGCTGGTTGACTCTGAGCTCCCATCAGCGTACTGCTCCTCGCTGCCTGCTGAGCTGCTCTCCTTCATTCCCACCCGCAGCCACCCTGCTTCCTATAGCTGTGGAAGAAGTGTAATTACAGCTGCATGAACCCTTTCGGTAGGTACAGTGCATGAGTGTGTGTGTGTGTGTGTGTGTGTGTGTGTGTGTGTGTGTGTGAAAGAGAGAGAGCTTGTGCCTAAGCTGTAATACCACCCACACCTGTTCTACATCAGCAAAGGGAAAGCACCACATGGGGGGCGAACTCCAGCAGCTCTGATTTAGTCTAAAACAAGAAAGACACCAAAAAGGCTGTGCAGTATTACTTAATTATTATGCGGCACACTGTTTTCATTTCATTTTATGTAATTTTATGCCTATACTAGATATTAGAAAAGTAAAGATCCACAAAAAGATTTCCAACATTTACTTAGATGTGCTTTTAATGTTTGCTCTCCGGTCTTGAAAGAGTAAAAGCTAATCCGCGCTGTATGAAGCATGACAACATGTCAGTCTAGCTGACGGACTCACAGCATTCACATACTAATTTCTACATTACAGCACTATTTATTACTAAATTCATGCACACATTCACACAACGACAGAGACGGATGGGGTGGGAATCAAACCAGCGACCCACTGGTTGCAGGGTGAACTCCTACCGCCATCGCCCCAAGTTACCACAAGACAATGCTACAGTAGCAGAGAGAGAACGTTAAACCTTTTCAGCCTTTTTCAGACATTTAAATTTTTGATGAAGGTAGAAACAAATGAATATTTTAAGCAACTCAACTTGCATTAGGGGGCTCTGTATATTCAAACGCAGACTGAGGGAGGGCTCTGTCAGTTTTACCTGTTTGAGTGCAATGGAGAGTTGTCCAGAAGGGGTCAGTATCAAGCACCGTCACGACGTTTAAAAGTTGTTTTTACTCTAACTTTGATGATCACATCTACAAAGGCTTAAGCTGCCAAGTAAAGATAAAAGCTTAACCAGTCGTATCAGACGCACATTAACCCCAAAACAAGCTAAAAGGAAGGAATAAAAACTTAATCTACCCGTGTTTTAGAGAATGTTACTCAACTGACATGAAAAAGCACAATAATGTCTAATAATGGTGGCTCTGAGTTAGAATAAATACACATCAGAGTTATATTTTTCTGTTATTAGATGCCCTAATTTGAACAAAAAGATCTAGTAGAAGTAAAAAAGTGAATTCCTCATTTTGACCCGTGCTAAGTACAAATTGACTCGTTTCCAACGAATGTGTTGCTTTCTCAAACATTAACGTTTGATGTTTCTTGTCGCCATATGAAGTTCATAATTCTGACATTCTTGCAAACAAGTTCCCATTCGCATATTCCACAGACGTGGGGAAACATTAACATTCATCCAGAGCTGCGCTCCTCTGGCCACCTGACAAATGAAAGCCTCGTGTTCATTTTACCCTTCAGGTCTCCGCCAGCATCAAAGAGTAAGCAAAAAGTCAAGAAGTGTCCTCTAAATTTAACCAGCGGGATCTTCTTTATGTTCTCTTTCTTTTTTGGTAACAGAGTAAATCGTCAGAGGGGTGGTGATGCTCTCGGATGTTATGGACACAATAAGCAAAAAGGAAATTAAAAAAATTCACGTTGGCATTAACCTGGCTGTCCTGCGTTTATGTAAACAAGGACCTGAGTGCCTGCTCCGTCTCTGAACGCTGTGACATAACAGGGCAACATTTTGAGAGACGGGGAGAGAAAACGCTGCTGGCGTTTCCTGGTTTTTGTGCAAAGCCATATAATAAAGATGAAGCACTCCAGGAAGTTTAACATCTATTTTTTGAGCAGCCTGGAAGCATTTCATGCATCTTACTTTGAAGTGAACATCTGTGAAGCAACACACTCCAAATGTGCTCTGGAGAAAAATACTGGAAAGAAACATTTTCTAAATGGCTGCAGCTATGAGGGGGATGTTTGCGTTCTGCTGCACTTTCCAATGTCTCTGTTAAAAGCAAACATTTTGAAGGACAGTCAGTCACATGGATATTTTTTTTTTAAAAAGAACAGATTTAATCTTGGTTGATCTTTCTTTCATCGGGGAAAAAAAAACCTTCATAATGCAAACAGAGTTTTGCAGAAGGAGTCAGAAACTCTCAGAAATCTGACTCAATATCGTCAGAGAAAACAAAGAGATGGTGGTTTCTTCTGGGTCCTGTTTCTGTGCCTTGTGAGACAAAGTGTTGGAATATTATAACATCTTTACGTCAAACAAAAGAAAATGAAAGAGAATATTGGCTTTTCTTTTGGGTTTTTGGCCTAAACGTATAGTCTGAACCTTACTGTTCAATCTTGGAATGTTATTGGATAGGAAATTTTCATATAAATATCCCCAAAAAGTGAAATAGCAAACAGCGCAACTTGAAAAACTTTGGCTCAGCACAATGAATCTCTGTGGTTCACTGTACCAGATTAATCAAAACATAGAAGGATGTTTGTAAAATGTTTTGGTTGATCTCACTTTACAATGTCTAAAGCACTTAAGCAAAGCGCAAAATATTTTTTTATACATTTAAAATAACATTTTCATAAAACCTTATAAAAAAATTAAAAAAAAGTCTGAAAACATAATTTTCATCTCCTTTAATACTATTTGGAAAAATGAACCTTTTTTCATGTTTTTCTGTGTTCAGGCCTAATCACTTCAGCTGCTTGTGCTGTTTATTGACTGCAAGTGTAATATTTCAACTTTTTCTTAAAATTCTTCCAGTCATTCCTCCTTTAACATTTAATACAATAATAGCATTTGCTTTAAAATGTTACATTAAAAAAATTTAAGAAAAACATATTTAAAAAATGCATGTCCTTAGAAGTCCTCACGTTTAAAGCAGGCACAAGCAAATTACAGAAACAAGTTTCAATCGCTTATGTTGGCCTTGCAATATTAGAGCTTCTTAGTCAAACAAGTTAATGACCCGTTGTGATGAGCAGCCATTTTGTTGGTAAAATGTGATGCGAGTCTTGTCTTGATAATAAATGTGCTTCAAATTTAGGGTACCTCTATAAATATTCAGTCCTTTTTAAAGAAATCTGCATCAGTGGCTAATTATTTGATGTATTTGTGGGAAAGAAAGTGATTTATTACAGGTAGACATCAAAACTTTGTCTTGCAATTAAACACGTATGGAGTAAAACAGTAAGTGTTTGCCATAACGTCACTATAGTTCAAAACATAAAACACTGTGATCTCATAACTTTCAGGTCTGGGTTGTGCCGTCTGCTAAGTAAACTTTAAAATCCAAAAAGACAGTAAAAATTGCTTGTGGACTTTTATTTTTATCTGATGCATGAATGAAAGCAGCGTGTCTCTCCTCCCTCCGTCACATCAACCAACATCTCTCTGGGCTAAAAACTCATTTGTCATCCGATCAGTTTGTCAGCTCTATTGATTCTCCAAAGAGAAACTGGGACCATTAAGTCCCTTCTGGAACAGGACGGCTCGGCCTGCAGCTGTCGAGTCATACATAACCAAACAAATGAACGACTGAACTCGACTGAGAAATGGTGTTTAGACCATTGCTGCTCCACTACGCTGTCCAATTGAGCTGGGTCCGCCGAGCCCTCAGGGAGGAAGCGTGTCGGATTCTGGCTCATTCATCTTCCGTGTGTCAGAGACGAGGTAAGATCTGACCGCCGCAAGAAGGGATCTCAGAGGCTAACATCCCCCGTATGTGTGCCTGCATGTATGTGGTGCAGAGGCTGAGCTGCTGCATTGATTGAATGCCAGTAAATGGGTTTCTGGCAGCCATCCCCCGCAATCAGCACCACAACTCTGAGGTGTGTTTCTTTTTTTTTGTTCTTTTTTTTCAGTAGCAGTGACAGGATACAGCCTTGTTTTACTTCCCCTGTCAGGGAGTTCATTATGTTGAGACAGAAATTCACAATCCCATGAAGAGGGGACATTCCTTATTATAGAGCACAGTGGAGGTATTTCAGTCTCTGACCTGCTCTGCCTGCCTGGAATAAAAGCATCTGCAGGATTCAGAGACAAAAATCCTTTCATGGTGTAAATCTCAGATTTTCTCCCGAGAACTTCAATCGCCTGGACGTTTTTAAGTGTGTTGAAAACCGATGGCTGCTTTTAAATGCTGAGGTAATTCATTCAGATCGTTTTATTTCTAAAAAAAAAAAAAAAGAGAGAGAGAGAGAGAGAGAGAGAGGAGAAAAACAGAAACGAATCATCGGATTTATTGAAAGCCGTCACGCATGCAAAAAATCGTATAGTGTTTCAATATTCCCATGTGTTATTGGAAGTGATAGGAAGACATAGTGGGACATTTTAATAAAAGGGAAATAATGGACGGGGGTTTTCTCATATCCTCTGACATATCTGTTGGTTAGGCAGCTGTGACAGCGGGGGAGAGGAGGAGGACCGGGCTTCCTCCACTTCTCCATCATCCGAGTGAAAACTTCAAGTTAGGAAACAGAACAATTGATCATGACCGCAATTCTGAGAGTAGCAGTTTTCTGTTTGTTACTTTAAGAATAAACTACTTCAATCCAGATTAACTGACAAAGTCAGATCCTTTAAATGTACCTGGAAATGCAAATTTCCATCCGTAGTGCCTTACAGGTGGATTGTATATCACTAAAAACACCTAGGATCTGTCCTGAAAGTCCAACTTGTCTCAAGCGGAGCTAAAACGTCACTTTTGTATCTCAGTCTGACTGTGGCAACCAAAACTTTTCATTCCCGACTGCTTCACACGCAGATTATTTGAAAGGGGGGCAACAACTATTGAGGCATTAACGTCTCGAGGATTGCTGCTGAATCCGTTGAACTTCAGATTCAGAGAGGATCACTCCTGGCCTTTGAGCAGCTTAGGATTCCTTCAGAATGAGAGGGAGATGAAGCAACATGGCTGCCGTGCAGAACAAATATCGTAGGTTCATCAAAAAATGGAGAAAAGAATCCCAGAAGTCAAAGCAGGAAAAAGTCAAAGCAAACATAAAAGTTTAAGCACTTGAAAGAAAACTAAACATCAGTCGTTAAAGCAAAGAATTTTATGCAAGTAAATGGTTTTATTTTGAGGAATCACTCAGATAAAAACCTTTTTTATGTGTGAAAAGTGTTTTGCAATGCAGCGTTCTCCCATATTTTGAGTTTTATAGTATTATCGAGTCTCGTAATTGAGACTTTGCAACATGATCTAATGATACTTTTCCCTTTAGACTCGCTCTGCTGCAACTGTTCACTGTGAATTTAAACTGCGATCAAACTTATTTCTAACTCCATAAAACAATTTAAACCTATTGGTGTTGCCGTAGAAACATTGTTACAGAACTGAAACGTAACAAACAGCAGCTGCGATGAAAAGTCGATGTTGCTTTGTTCATAATTCTGTGCAGCACATTGAGCTGCTTTATAAATAAAACTGATTGATTGATTGATTGATTGATTGATTGATTCCTGGGTTTTCAAACTTGTTAAGCTCGCACATATTAGTATTTGCTTGTTAATTCTGTTATTTCAGCATCAACTCTTCCTAACACAGATGTAACCATTAGGCTGTTAAACTTGGCACTAATGTCTTGTAGCGTCGCAGTGAGCATGATGTTTGCGTTGTCGTATGTATACAGTCATGCACTGAAACGTGTCACGTGTGTTTAATTTCAATCATGTTGTTTAATTTGACATTTTAATTGTGTTTTCTTTCAGAAAGGCCAAAAAAGCAACCGCAGTCGTCTGCGACGACGATACATTTGGCAACAATATTTCTGCATAATTATGAAGAAAATATGCACGTAGGAGATGCATCAGTAATTATATTATTGTTCTTTTTGTCACCAGTTACTTTGTTAAAGAGTACTGGGACTATCCCAGTGCTTTTGTAGGACTTTATGCTGAAATACGAGGCCAGTCACACATCACATCACATCACTCCGATCACTGCAACAGGCAAAAAGACTGAAGTCATTCAGCAGGATCTGCCACCTCCCCATGAAGGCCAAACGTGTTAGAGGCTTAATCTGTAAAAGTTAATATCATTCTCAACTAAGTGCCTCTTGAGAGGACATCATCATATTGTTACTTCTTAGACGACGGATCATCAAGTAGCACCCCGACCCAGATCGAACCGTCCTCGCGCTCATATGATATGCATATTCATTGAGCTCTGAAACAAGCCCTTGAGCAGAAGAGAAAACTCTCTAATTAGTTGCCATCATCCTTGTGGCAGCTCGTCGGGGTGCGTTTGTCTAGCTTGTCAAATGTTTTTGCCACCCTTTGCTGCTCCGATTGTTTCTGTGCAGGTTTGCGCCTGGCTGTCCTCTGCCACGCATTCAGTCGTGTTTAAAATGAGTTCGTGCAAGTCTCATCCCCTCGCATTATGCTTGATGAACACATGAAGCACGCTGGAAAGTGCCTACGCAGTACAAGGGTTACAGCAGAGAAAAAGCAGCACATGATTTATGGACTGAACACAGTCAGCAGCAGCTTTTTTTTGATAAATAAATCCCTAAAGCCTTCTTCCAATTTTGTCCAAAGACTCTGAAGATTGTTCGCGCCAACTGCAGGGTCAGTGGTTATTGTGGTTTTGATGCGTCTGCCAGCTCTTCTCTGTGCAACACAACAGATGAGGAGGATTGCATCAGCAGCTTCAGTTGCATGAAAACAGGGGTTTGTTGCAAAGTCGCTTACAGTTTGTGAATAGCTGTAATCATGCAACGAACTTCACATTTCACTTTCTCTGCATGCGTTACATTTACCGTTTCCCTTGACATGTACAATAGACCAATTCCAATCCACATCATATAGGCCAGCTTCTGAGTGTTTTGACAACAGTAGAGAACTGTTGCTATTCAAGCCATTCACTCTCAGCCCTGAGAGGGCTTCTCAGCTCCAAAGAGGAAATTATGATATACGTGTTCACAAGCTGTGTCATACTCCAGAAAAATGATTTTTGGCACGTTAAACTGTTCGAGGGGTGCGCTAGATTGTAGATAATGGGAGGCAAACACCTGAGGTCAGGAGGGACAGGTGGCATGGCTCACCGATTGGGCGCGGCGTCGAAGAGGACTGAGACGATGGCAGCATATACAATAATCTACAAAAGTCAAAATACTCAGTGAAAAATCGTACATCTGCTCAGACATAAAGGAGCCTGTTCCTCTTTTAACTCGGATGTTGTCAGATCCTGCTTTGATGAGGAGAAAATGTCTCAGTATCTTCAGTGACTGCAGAAACTTGAAATGTCAGAGACAAACACAAGCAACACACCAGTGACAGCCACTGACAGCCCCGTGCTTTTCTGCAGAAAATAACCCAAAAAGACGCTACTCCTTTGAAAAGCAGTGATGTAACAATTGGCAAAATTGTTGGTACCCCTCATTTAACGACTGAAAATAAGTGGAATAAGTTGAAACTGACAAAACTTAAGTAAAAACGTGTTGAAAATTAACCAGTGAAAATCAGACATTGCTTTTAAAATGCGGTTCAACAGAATCATTTTAAAGTACTTAATGATAAAACAAACCTAAACAAAAATGATGGAACTTCCAAAAATATTGAAACTAATCTGACAGTAAGGACGCGTTAGGCTGAGGTGTGTAATTAGTGTTTTCTAATTAGTGTATTCAATCCCATATTCAGTCAGTCAGCCTACTTAAAGGGTGACAAGTAATTTGCCTTGTTTGGTGACATGAAACTCAAGGCCTGGGGGCCAAATCTGGTCCGCCATAGCATTTTATGTGGCCCTTTAGATTCCAAATTACATCAATTAGTCCGTCCAGTTTTTCACAATTCTGCAAAATTCATACAAGATCCACAAAGGATCAACAAATCCCCACATTTTTTTCTGACTTTTACTGAAAAACATTGGGTTATTGATATTTTAACAGTTTAATGGCTTTTATCAATATATTCTGGCACAATCGACCCTTTAAGAACATCCAGATTTTTGATTTGTTCCAAAATGAAAATGAGCTCAACACCCCTGGAGAACAAAAGGAGAGAGATTAGGGGGAAAAAATGATAGACCTCATCCAAGTAGCTTGACGCTCCTGTGACTAAAGTTTCACATGTTGCTTAGAGGTTTAAGGTTCACAGGACTGAAGTCATAACATCAATTTTTATCACCAAAATGATGAAAAGGTTAGCATGAATGTTATCCAAACAACCCAGAACAAGTTCCAAAGAAATAAAAGGTGAACTCTGAGATCAAGGCACGGCAGTGTGAGATCGATCAGTCTGTCGTAGTTTGAGCCGGAGTGGAAACAACCAAGGAGGAAAGCAAATCAGCGAAAAGCTAGACTGCTATTTGCCACTTTGCCTAGTGACGAACCACAAAGCTTCTGGGAGAAAGTCCTTTGGACAGATGAGACAAAGCTGGAGCTTTTTGGAAAGGCACATCAGCTCTGTGTGTAGACAAAGCCAAAAATGAGGCATGCCAGGAAAACAACACAGTCCCTACTGCGATACACGGAGGAGGCTTGGTTATGTTCTGGGACTGCTCTGCTGTATCTGGCAGAAGGCGCCTTTAATCTGTGCAGGGCACAATCAAATCTCAGGACTATCAAGGCATTCTGGAGAGAAACATGCTGCACAGTGTCAGAAAGCTTGGTCTCCGTCGCAGATAATGGGTCTTCAAACAGGATGTGACCCAAAACACACAGCAGCTGAAAAAAAAAAATCTAAATATTTGCAACCAAACAAAATGTATAAAAAAAAGTTTAAGAGGTGTGAATTCTAGAGGAAACTCTCTACTGATCTGACTGACATGACAAATCAAAAATCACATCTTGGTCTCCCCTGAAACTTTTTTTTTTTTAAGTTAACCATAAAAGCTCACACAGATGAAGAAATAGAGACCTGCCAAAACCTTTCCCTCCATCAGTCTGCTTGATCTCCACAAACACAGACACTTCACAGCGTGCATGTCTGCATCACAACACTGTACTTATGAGAACACCCGTTGTGGCGCATGAATTATTCTAAAGCCAAACAAGGCCTTAAATCTGCTCAAGAAATCACGAACAGAAATAATCTCAGCCTCAGAGAGAGAGACACACAAACGAGCAGGAGCAAACACAAGTCGCTGCTGTTTGTCAGCTTTCCCTGGGCTACTATTTATTTTCAGAAGTGGAATGGCAAGAATTCCCTTCATTATCGACACCTGCTCGCATGAACCGTAAAACGTTACGGTGTCTGGTGTCAATCAATAAAAGAAAATGAATTGTGTTACATCAGAAGCAGGGAGCCAGAGAGAGAGAGAGACGTATGGTCGTCTGAATTTCTCTGCTCGGTATCAGCCCAATTCCCCATTTCACCTTCGACCGTGTGGCAGCAGCACATCCACTAATCAGTCTTCCTCAAGATGCAAACTGAAGCAGTTTCGTTTGTGTTGTCTGCAACTTAGAGGCCTCTGCTGCTCAATGTTTAAAGATGGATTCAAATGCTTAATAAAAATGTTTTATTTTAGTAAAAGAGAAGAGACTCGTGCGTTGCTTTAGGCAGAGAAAACGGTGTTCAGGCTAAACAAGAGGTACATCTGATGTTAAATGTTGCTCTCCTGCAGTGCCAGGAGACATACGTGCATCTCTCTCCTTGTCTTGATTTCCTTTGTGGGTGGAAGGGATTTCATGACAGATTTTTTTTTTTTTTTCATTCTTCTTCTCTAAGCTATATCCATGCAAATGATTGGATTTATCCCTGAGCACGGATACACAGCTGGTGATATGTGAAGATTGGCGTGGCGGTCTTCGCTGCAAACACTGTCTGCCGCTGGGAGTTCAGAACTCCTCCCACATGGAGATTTGACGCAGGTGCACACAAGTGCAACTAAGCTGGAAAACCACATTACGACACACACATCCTTTAATACTGTCAAGAGAAATCAGAAAGCAAAACAAGAAAGCCGCAAAATGTGACAGTCGTACTCGTGGCATGAGCCCGGATGAAGCCGCCGCCGGTTATCGTCTCATTCTGCTCGTTGGCATGTGACGGTACGAACTTCTGTCTGAGAAGTAGCCCTGTGTTGGTGTGACAGCGTGATTAATGTGGCTCCACACCCTCCCTGTTAGTTGACCCTTGTGGCTCTCACATCAAGATAATGAGGAAATCGTGCTCACCAGCTGAAACTCTTGCCCGCCCCTCTTCCTCCTCCACAAAACCCGTCGCTGCACGCGCACTCCCTCCGGTGCCGCCGGCGCAGCTAGAAGATTCCTCAAGCAGGATTTGCCGTCGTGGTTTTCCTCATCACATTACCAGCAGGACTGTAAAGGGTTGATGGGCATCCACATGCTCCGAGAAGCCAGAGGAAGTTATCATGTGCTGACAAGGAGTGGATGGGGAGTACAGGCCTGCTGCGACGCTCTTAGCGCCTTTTGCTCTTTGGGCTGTACGGCGCCACCGGAAGCAGCTGTCTATCTCAGAAAGCTCCCCGTTTCTTGTTCTGTAATAAAACCCTTAAGAATCAAACGACTGAGTCAAATATTCAAAATGTGGATTTTTTTTTTTTTTTTCTGCAGTCACTTGTTTTACTTCACACTGTTCAGAAATGGCTGTGACTCCTATCGGTCGCTAATGAACAACAACCCAGCCAGCATGCCTAGGTGGGCCCCATGTGGGGGAAAGGAGAGCTGATATATGGGTCCCATATGGGTTTGTCCGCGGGTTCCACAATGGCCCCACATGGGTTTGCCCATGTAGGGCCACAGCCCACATGGGTGCTACATGGGCCCTAAATGGACAAACCCATGTGGGGCCATCATGGAACCCGCAGACAAACCCATATGGGACCCATATAGTCTGCCCTCCTTTTCCCCACATGGGGCCCACCTAGGCATGCTGGCAGGGAATGTGCTTCTGTTTTCATAAGGAGTCAGAAGTTATGAAATTACAGTCATCGCTGTTTGTGATATTTGTCAATTTTCCATTGTTGTTTTATGTTTAATTACTGGATTTTTTTTTTTTCTTGTTGGGCCACGTGAAACTGACCTTAGAGTAAGTGGAAGATAAACAAGCTCCTAAACTCGAGAGACAAATCAAGTTTGTATACAACATTTCAGCAACAAGGCAGTGCAAAGTGCTTTAAACTGCACTTTGAATCCCAAGATTAGTTTATA